GGGATATAACGAAACCTAGGAATTCAACCTGGTCTTGGTAGAATGCGCACTTACTAGGCTTAGCGTACAGGCCCGCTTTCTGTAGCCGTTCAAGCACCTGATGAAGGTGGCTTGTGTGTGAATCCCGGTCTGCCGAAAAGATCAGGATATCGTCAAGATAAGCTACCGCAAAGGTATCGAGAATATCGTGAAGCGCAACATGGATGTAGTTCTGGAAGGTTGCAGGCGCGTTTGTAAGGCCGAAGGGCATGACTGTGTATTCATAGTGCCCGTAACGAGTGCGGAAGGCTGTTTTCCATTCGTCGCCTTCCTTAATGCGAATTCGGTAGTAGGCGTCTTGGATATCGATCTTGCTGAAGACCTTTGAACCGGCGAGTCGGTCTAAGATCTCCGAAATGAGGGGTAAAGGGTAGCGATTCTTCACCGAAACCTTGTTGAGTCCTCGGTAGTCGACACAGAGGCGGAGGCCTCCGTCGGTTTTTGGTACGAATAAAATAGGGGCTCCGGCTGGACTTTTGGATTCGCGGATTCGGCCGTTCTTAAGATTCTCGTCGATGTATTTGCGTAGTTCAGCGAGCTCCTTTTGCGACAGAGGGTAGATAGGCCCATACGGGACCTTCGCTCCGGGTACGAGGTCAATGGCGTGGTCGTATTCATTCGATGAAGGTAGGGTGTTCGAGTTTTGGGATGAGAAGGACTCGTTAAACTTTGATAGTTCGGGGGGTAATCGGTAGGGTTCCGGTGCGGTTTCGTCGGCATCGCGGTCGATTGGAAGCCACACTTCTTCAGGCAGTTTGACCACGGCGAAGACGTGCGCGTGGTTTCGGGCTTTCTTGGCAAAGCGTGTGGGTGGAAGAATTTCGATAGATGACGTTCCAAACCACCAGAGGCCGCTTCGTCCCGCGATATGGATATCTAGGTCGTGAATCGTAGTCATAGAGAGGAGTATAGGGCTTCCTTCTAGCCGGGGGTCTCGGTCGATTGCTACACATGGGCGAGTGAATCGACGGGTTGTACCCCTGGAATCGGTAGCCTTTAGGGGGACGTTCCACACTCCGTAGGTAGGGGTTGCTCGTTTGTTGATAGCGTCGATAAGGGGTGCAGTGAGTTTCGCTTGGTTAAGCTTATACTTTTTGGCAAATTCGAAGCTTATAAGGTCGACCTCAGCACAACTGTCAAGGTCGGCATAGGTTTCGAGATTGTTTCGGGCGGTGACGGTGACTGGGACATGGAACCGAGTTCGGGTTCCCACTGTAGGGAGAGACAGATCCGTGGGATTTAATCTGTCTCGCTGTCGTTTCCCTGTAGGGCAGATTGTATAGCGGCAGTGGGTTTATCCTTTGGCGGATCGGGGCATTTGTTGGAGTAATGCTTTTCGCTCCCGCAGTTAAAGCATCGGTTGCGTTTCCCGTTGTCTCCGATAGGGTTTAGGCGGTCTTTCGTAGGCGTATTCTTATCGGTCCAGGGCTTTCGGGATTTTTTGTTGTCTTGGGTTCTCTTAGTTGAATTCCTCTTTCGTGAGGGTTCATCTGTGGTCTCTGTATGCTTTCGCTTTCGATTCGTTTCCAATCGCTGTAAGTCCCAGAAGTGGTACGCGATATCAATCATCTCCTCGCGGGTCTCCGGGAGTTTTATGATATGGCGGCGGATGTCGTTCTGGAGGTCGTACAGAAGTTTCGCGAAGAAGGAAAGGGCTCTCTCTTTCTCGGCTACCCTTAGGAAGTGGCGTTCTAGGGTATCTAGACGGGCGTGGAACTCTCGTGGGTCCTCATCTTTCAGCTGGCGGGCCCTTTCGAGCTGGCCCATCACTTCAGACTGGAGACTGGCTGCGTTCTTAATAAGGGTTAGGGTCCAGTCCTTAAAGTAGGGCCAGTCTTCTTTGAGGTTTCGGTCGGTAATCGGTGCCTTTTCGTCAATGTGTCGGTACCATCTCTGCCGACAGGTTGTATCCATATAGCTCAATGCTCCAAGGATTTGGGTCCGACCGTCGTGATAGCGCCTTAGATCTCCTTCGAATTGCTGTTGGAGGTCTAGGAGCCATTCTTGTCGTTGTTGTAGTGAAGAGTTAAGAGTGAACGTAGGAATATTTTTAAGCTTGATGTCCTGACCCTTTCCTGATGATTCGTAGGGGTCCTGGTATGGGTTCGACAGAGTTTCGTCTGGGTTTCGTCCCATAAGCTGTGATCTGAGCGTTTCGGCTTGTTCTTGTAAATCTTTGAGCCTCTGCAGCTTTTCTATGGTAGCTTGAGTAGCTGCGAGGTTGGCATCAAGATCGGTCGGGGTTAAACCCTGGTCGGTCGCAATTGGGATTTCTTCCGCGATGCGGGGAGGGTTCGGTGCCCCTTCGGTAGAGGGAGTAGAACGGGTCCTTGGTGCCATTTCTCCTAGGTGATCGAAGAAGAAGAAACAGAAATTGTAAGGATATACTCTATAAGTCAGGATAGAGGCCTGTCAATCAGGTAGGAGAAATGGAGCCAAGTCAATAGTGTAGAAAGGTCAAGAACTGTTTCTTGAGGATCGCAAAACTTCTTCAACATGGGTCAATTTATATACAGTCTCATCACTCAAACAGGAAGGAGATGTATCCTTGGTAGGGAAATGGGAGCGGGGTGAAACACGAGGCTTGTGTAACCTCTGTCAAGGGTGTTCCCTGCAGGAGTTCGTACACGTACTGAAGCCGAAGCCCCAGCGAACCTCCACAGAAAGCCTGACGGCTTATCAGGTCCGGGAAGCCTGATGCACCAACACATGGGGAAGGCCTGCCGGCTTATCAGGCCCGGGAAGCCTGAGGCACCAACAGTTGGGAATAACCTCATGCCAGGATATATCATAACAAAAGCATAGATACTAGGGTATATAGCTAGATAGTGCTATTATAGCTAATGTTAGCTATAGCCTAGCCTATAGTAGGCTAAGTAGGGTGTGCCCCTTAGTAGGTAGTAGGCTAGGCCCTTAGTAGATTACTTAGTATAGTATAAGGTCCCTGCTTAGTAGATAGGAGGCTAGCAATCTAGTAAGGTGCCCGCGCTACTAGACTGCCCCCGGTAGGAGGGTGCCCCCCGCTACAAAACTGCTGCCGGTGGCAGGGTGCCCCCGCTGCTAGACTGCTCCCGCTGCTAGACTGCCCCCGCTGCTAGACTGCCCCCGCTGCTAGACTGCTCCCGGTGGCAGGGTGCCCCCGCTGCTACACTACCCTTAGTGGCAGGGTGCCTCCTCTAGTAAGGATAAAATACTAAATCCTTCGATTACTCCGGAACTACTAGGCCTACTAGGCTACTAATAGTATTAATATAATGCCCGAAGCGAGGGCTATCTAGCTATAATAATCTTGATTAGTCAGCAGTCAAAAAGTTTCCAAGCCTGTTCAACCTCATTTTCACCAAGGCCCGGGGGCAGTCACGTGACGGGGATAGCCTCACAACCTAGAAGGGCCCTCAACCTACCTAGGATTTCTTCCCCGGATAGAGTCACATAGCTAGATAGCTAGATATCGCGAAGTAGGCTGGCTAGCAACTGGCGAATAGAGACCACTAAGGCCTGATTGCTAAGGCCACGAATCTAGGCTTAGTAACCCTAGCAATCTGGCTGGCCGAATCGGGCATAGCCTACCCGCCGCCCTGGCCTTGGCATCCCCCACCAAAAAAATCCCAGCCAAAAGGCCGCCCTTAGGGTAAGGCCCTTTGACGTGATAATCGTGGAATATTATTTGACATTTAGATTGGACTAATTATTCAATTAAAAGATTCCAAAAATCCGATCAAAAAATATCAAGATTTCGGGTACTAAGGGGGGGGGGTATCGTATAACCCCAATACCCCCCTCGCCCCACTTTCTTAACTATGAGTACCCCCCCGGTATTGGGCCGGAATACCTTTAGGGAATTTTGGGCTTTGGAAGGACCCGCAGTCGGTAATTGAAAGGAGGGGGTACCATAAATACTATTTGATTCCACTTGGATACTCGGAATTTTGAGTAACTTGCCAAAATGAGGATGATTGTAGCTCGATTTCAATTCTTGCTCCACAATTTTAAGAGTTTAGACGGCTCCAGTGGTTTATAAAGTGACATGGAGGGTTTTGTTGATGAGGTTGCGGAGATACAAACATGTTGTCTGCGGGCGTCAAAAGCGGCCGTTTCTCACCGTGTCATGCATATTAGTAGTAAGAGTAAGGCCCTTAGCGATAGAGACACTAGTAGGTAATAGAGCGAGTATACTTCTTTAATATCTCTTAGGTAAAGAGAGTAGAAGGAGAATCAGATAATTAAGAAGAAGATTAAGCACGCTATTAATAACGAACTTACTAGTGCTCCTTTATACCTTTTATCGTACAATAAATATAATAGTATAAGGGGGTACACTAGTATTAGATACTATCTCGGAAAACAGGAAGAATATCAAAAGGTAGCGGCTAATAGGGGATTAGATTAAAATCAAAGATAGATAGTAACTAGGGCTAGAGTGTAGGGAGATATTCGTAAATCTGAATAGCTGTACGAGGGGAATAGGAATAAGGAGATAAACCCTAAGCCTAATAACCGGCTGGAGCGTCAGATGCCGCCACAGCATATTACCAGCCAATCAAAATCCCTACTGTGACCGCTATCATTACCTCGTGCTTCAAAAAGGCTGAACAGCGAAGGAAGGCCAAATCGTAAACCACGGTACAATAGGCTTCGCTGCGGCCTGCTCTAGCTTAGCCACAATTAGTACAGTATTATTACTACGTACGTACGAAACACGAAACAAAGGCTTATAAATACTAACACCAAACTGTCTTACACCTTTCCTTCACCCACCGTACACAAAAGTCGTCTCAACACTTGATCAGATCATCACATTTTTATATTCCATATCGCTACATGATTCAATTGGTCCATTGAGTGGCGAATCTACCCTGTCCTTTGCGTCTACTACTATAGCCTCTCGTCTCCACGGCCCAACCTCACTGTCTACAGCCCGGCCGTTATACCGTGATCTTAATCACTACCTTGCCCTTGGCATGCCTCGTCTCCACCTTGTCAAACGCCTTTTAGAAGTCCTCAAACTCTACGGCGCTGTCGATCTATAGCTTACCTATACCCGCGTCGACTACCTTTGCGATCTCGGCGAGGTCGCTACCGCGCGGCTAGACAAGGAACCAGGTCGCCTTAGCGAGTTTCTTGGACGCCACGGACGCAGGCCTAACGCGGTCGGGCGTGTCGGAGACGCTAAGCAGCACACCGCCCTCCCTAACGGCAGTCCAGCACCCGGCGAGAGAGTCGCCGCTGACGCAGTCGAGCGCTATATCACACTACGTCGAGGACGGGTCCTAGGCAGCCTAATCGGCGACCGACTGCTTAGTGTAGTCGATAATATCTGTAGCGCCGGCCTTGTGCACGTCGTTAACCTTGGAGGGCCTAGACATAGCGACGATAGCGCCTGCGCCTGCTGCGGCGGCGAGCTGCACGGCCTAGCTGCCGACGCTGCCGCTCGCCGCTGTGATAAGTACCCTTACCTTACCGTTGGCTTCACGAACCTTAGCGTCGCCGCCTTAAGTAACGATAGCCCGTGGGTTGAGCAGGCTGTGCTCAAAGAGCCCCTAATAGGCGGTTAGGGAGCTTAGCGGCGTAGCGGCAGCCTCGACCCAGCTCTGCGACCTAGGCTTAAGGGCGAGGCTGCTCTTGTTAATAAGCGTATAGTCGCTGAGGCAGCTACAGCGGTCGGCATAGTTGCGGAAGTAGACCTTATCGCCGGGCTTAAAGGGGGACCTAATAGGGGCCGTGACGACGACGCTAGCGCCCTTAGTGCCGGGGACGCGCTCGCGGTCGGTAGTGAAGGCCTCCGGGAAGTAGCGCTCTTAAGTAAGCCAGCTGAGGCAGGGCGACGTAGCCTTAATCTGCACAAGCTGCTCTTCGGTGTCGCCTTCCTTAGGCATAGGGAGGGCCGTCTCGGTGAGGATAAGGGTGTCGATCTTAGGGTCCGGCTGGAGAACTGCCCTAACATTTTGGGACAGGTTGGTAGCTATAGTTACTTTAGTGTGGCCTTTTTGAGGGTGTTAGTGATGTCTCGCCGTTTGTTGTTCCGCCCGCCTCTACTGGTTGAGGTAGTCGATATACTCGTCTGCGTGAGGATTGTTCCACTGATCCGGTCAACCCTCCCTTTCTATAGGAAAACAAGAAAAGCTCCAGGTCGGCTATCGGAGGTTACCATCAAGCCGACGGTCCCGTTTTCGTCGTGTTTGGTAATAAAGACTGTGGCCGAACTGACAGCCATTACGGAGTATACGAGGCAAAGTCGGCGTTGTCGGAGGTCTGGACGCCGAGCTATACGGTAGTGACTACTCCGTACGGTCATACAGTTAACGTAATTCCCGGTCACCCTGGCCACCTAACCCCACTAGAAAATTTCAAAATAGATTATCTCAACTAACACCCATTAATTTAACTAGATAATACGATTTTTACATGAAGTAATCCTATGGCCAATTCGGCCACATCCACTGCAGGTAGGCGGAGTCCTCCTGACCGGTTGAATCGGCTGATTAGGCAGATCGACCTCCTCATGCGATACTACCTCATGAGCTTCTACTGGCTGAATTAGCTGCTGAGCTAGCTGTAGACCCTCTTCGATTGATAGGCCCCCTTCGTGTGTAATCCGTCTAGTCGATCGAGTGCGCTTTTGGCGTTTCTTTTCATTAGCTGCGCGTAGATCAGCGTTCTCCTTCACTAATAAAGCAGTGTTGTGTAATGCTTTATAGTGGCCCTTAAGAATCTGATCAACCACTAATTTCAACGGGCTTAGCGAGCTTTTTGACCGCTGATCTATTAGATCTTTCATCATTTTAGCCTGCTTTTCTAGCTGCTTCACTGTTCGGGGCGTTTTTGGTGTGAATTGGCTAGATCTGCTGCTTGGTCGGCTTGATTGTGGTGAAGGCGTTCGGAGAGAAATGTTCAGCTTAGAAAGCACTCTATCAGCATCAACTAGCAGTAATCGCACTCGTTTGGTGTAATGTGGGGGGAATACGAATTGTGCGGGAATCAGAATTGCCGAAATCGAAATTCTACCGGTTTAAAGAAATCAAACCTGCTGAATAAAAAATTTGGCAAGGTGATCCCTATTTCCCGCCGTAGATATCTTTATATTCGACAAAACTGAGCGTAGACAGCTCCTGGAACCAACTGAATGATATTGAAGGCCATATGTTCACTCGAGGACCACTCGTATGAGCTCCAGGGAGCCTTGTCGGTTCCAGGAATACAGTACGAATCCGTAGAACCAAATGGATGATTTTCTGGTGGGCAAGACCCGTCGGGATATTTCGGAGCTATGTGGACGGACAAAGGTTCGCATTCTTTAATGGCGGGAGGCGGCAACACCACTCTCTGAGATAAGGCTGAGAGATCGTTTCGAGTCTTCAAGACAGAGTCAAGGTGGAAACCGGCATCTGGCGCCTGGTTGGCATCACAGTGCTCTCACCTATCCTGTTTCTACGAGTGGGTCGTTAGTAATTTTCACCCTTGCAAGGTTGCCTCTTTCACTAACCTTGAGATGATCTAACATCGTAAGACACTTCCTCCGTGCCAGATGGCACCTGGCGCATCAATCATGAGCGAGAGCCGTTATTTAATAATACAGGTTTCTCCAAGCAGTCAAGTATTCATTCACTGAATATACGAAAAGGACAAGCAGGACATAAGAGTGGTATCTATTAGAAACACGCTGATTTGACGGTCTATATGGCTCTGGAGGCCGACTTACGCTCTCATCATTATTTGCTTCCAGGATCAAGTGGGAAGTTACGGTAAAAGGCTTCTCTTGAATCTGCGAGTCAAAGTCAAAGTCTCCTGGGAGCCTCTAGTTTGCCTCTGCAGATCCATAGAATGGGGTGCTAGCCTAAACCAAAAAGCTCGGATAATGCATCTGGAGCCAAACAAGCAATATAAAAGCGACCAATCCTTCCACGAAGACGCTTTGCGTTTATTTATTCGAATCTTGACTTTTGAACTTGATACGAATTCATGACGCAAACTTTCAGATGTGACACTTCGAATAGGCTGTTTCAGCTTCGTCCAGAGATTCTTCTATACCTTTCGGAATCCTTAAAGGAATTCTGATCCTGTTAGCACTCTCGTCGATCCTGGAATGGCCCATGGCTACCTCCAGGAGCAATACAGTTCCCAAGAGAGGCTGTTCATGTTCTCGGAGACACATTTTACATTCCTAGGAAGCTAACAAATCGTTTAGAAATAACTTTGCCCATTCCGGGACAGAAAGCTTTCAAGGGAAATGGACAACCTTTAGCCATGCCAGTCTTTCCATTGAAGCGATCTTATTATAACTCGATTTTGTATACATTCTTCCTCTACGGCAACCCGTTCCAAGACGCCTCAACTATATCGCTCACCACCATGATCTCCAGGCAGTGCAGCAGTGTCACGCCTGCTCCACTTGATTCGGCTTGCATCCGGCCCCATTTGGGAAACCATAGGCGAAGCGGACCGTGCTTTTTAGCTAGGACAGATACAGAGAGACAGGGCTAAGCATCTTAAATTTGGATATAGCAGAGACCAACCTCCGCCGCAGGAAGCCTGGTGTGGACTCGCAAGATAAAGATAATTTCGAGGAGAACCGTGAGCCACCCCCTAAGGTTAAACCACTCATCAACATGTTCCCGAGTGTCTCCGCCGCCTTGCTTACTCGCGTTTTTGAGAAGTCGAAGGCGACTAAATTCATACGCTTTAAAGGGAAATCTGTCACCGAGCTAGAGCAGGAGGATAGGGTCTAGTCAGCCCTATCGCCAAGACATTAGCCAATATGGAGTAGATTAATATTGACTACCAATACCACAGGCTCTCTCATCCCTAGACAGTGCAAGCTGAATGCAGAGAAAAGACAGCACGACCTCGTAGAGGCCCATCTTCCTGCAACGTATGCCTTGGGCTGCTGGCTAGTGGGTCTTGGTCGTCGGCCTGGGAATTGCAAAAGCCGCGGACTAAATTGATCAATCGCGGGCTTCTGCTATGGATGCCAGGGTCGTCGACGTCCATGGCCACCGCCCGCAGTTCCAAGGAATCTTCATGGACACGATTCGTCGGCGCCCTCACCAGTTGGACTCGTTCTCCTGAGCTTGGGCTCACATAGGACTGCAAGATCAACAGATCCTCCTCCGCATGGTAGGCGGTCCCGAGAGTTCGCCTCGGCGTTGCACAAAGACGTTCTGGGGGTGCGCCACCACCGAGTAGCGGTCGCTGAGCAGTTTCGGCACGCTGATCAGGTTCATCCCGATGAGTGGCGCGAAATACACGTTCTTAACACCAGGAGGTGGTTGGACTTCCCCCGGAGTGTGAGCTTCACCGTACCAATCCCTTCGGCTTCCACAGGTCGCCCGCCGTGTCCAACATCACATCTCACGGTGGGGCATTACCGAGGCGCGTATGCGTGACGGGGCAATAAAGGGGATACCTCCAGAGCTAAAACGATAATCTATAAGCTCACCTCGGTGAAGGGTCAATGACTCAGCGGTACTGGTCCGGTTCGTCCTGAATCCAAATTGTCTTACCAAGCCACAATTATATTTACCAAAGTAATACTTGTTATAGTCGAATATCCGTCCAGTGCTCTTGCAATATCTTCTGAGAATGTTGCACGTGCAATACTTAGAATGCCTGCTGTGGTACCAGGGACGGACCCCAGATGTGGAGGAGCAGTTTTGATCAACCTCGGTGCGGCGGGTGAGGAACCCCGACATGGATGTAACCAAGTAGTTGTATGCTAGGAAGACGCCGGGACATCGGCCCTTAATACAGCCCTGGAACAAGGGAGACGCCTCGAGAAATAGTAGACTCCCGGAATTCCCCTTTATCTGTTCAGCTACAGAGTAAGCCTGGGAAGAGAGCCATAGCATTGGCTGCCACGGGCGCACGCACGGACGGCCAAAGATAGGGCGTCATGAATACTACATCAACCGTGGTGGATACCGTCAAATAATTGGGCGAGTCGGATAATGGTGAGAAAACGAAGGAGGGCCTCTTCCGGAAGCCCGAGAGCAGGTGCGTTAGCAGAAGTGCATAATTATTGTATGCTGCACCTGGAATACATTATCCTCCCTATATAGCTGGATATAAGTCGCAGATTCCATTTTATCTCATTTGCATTTGCTCCTAGTTTTGAGGCTTTGCCTCCTGAGGCACCCAACATCACAATTGCGGTTAGTTTAACTAGGGGGCCTGAGCCCGTGACTCACAAATTTTCTAGGAACATCAACAGGAGAAAGGAATATGATTCAAGTTAAGGTACCTGAAGGAAGAAACGAAATCTTGATACTTCACCGCGATTACACGCTCTCCGCAACATGCGGCTCCCCGTCGAGATCCAGGTTCAAATCATCGAGGCTGCGGTTCAAACCATACCGATCGCAGACTTGGTCCAAGCACGACTCGTCAACAGTTTGTCGGCCTTCCACCTCTTTATTGAGCAGAATGGTATTGAAGAACAATATTAGGCTTTTTCGCGGAGGAAATAATGACCTGCCTTATGCGAAGCCCCCGCCTAGAAAGCGACGGCTTTGGCTTCCGAGAAGACGACGATTCACCCTTTGTTTATGATATTGGCCGAAATAAGTCTCACGAGACATGGTGGTATAAATTTCCCCGCCGCTACAAATGTCAATACCTTCACCACAAGGTGAAGCGAGATCTGCACAGCCGGTGCGCATTTTCCGCGTTTGTCCATAAGCTCCTTGAGCTGCCGCATGAGCCACGTACGCCCAAAGAGGAACACGAATTGGTCGATAAGTTGATTGATGCATGGATATGCGGCAAATTCTATCGAATTCGTGATCTCGTCGATCCTAATCGCTGTGAGAAGTATTTCCAGGACCATCAAATGTCGAGCCTCACCCGCCCAAGATATGGACCCTGGGAGCCCTTCGAAATAACAATGTCTGCTGCACTTGCGACCAGCGCAATTAGGAGAGGCGACTACGTTGAGCTAAAAGCCCTCCTTAGCCATCATAAAGACCTTGACACCTACCGTTATACACCTGGCGGGGTCTTGGGTCGCGCAAGTGGCCGTTTTGGTGGTATCTGTCCACTAGACCTCGCAGCTAAACGGGCTTCAGCCGATATTGCCAAAGTCCTAACCACGAACCAGTGTCACTCGGAATATATCACCAGTAAATACGGCTACACAGACCGCATGTTAACGGTGGCTACAAAAGCCGGGAACCGAGAGGCCTTGAAGGTCTGGATTGACCACCTGAAGAGCACTGGGGGCAGCCTTTACGAAAATCTTCATTCGGCTGTCAGAGGAGCTATCCTGATTCAAAGGTGGGATATGGTGGATTTCCTTGAAATGGAGTGCGGGGTTATTTTCACCGAGACCAAGATTGAGGCGCAGGTTGAATCTCTCGCACTAGCCATTCTCTCCAGAAGAGTGGATACGGTACGAGAGATTCTTGACCAGGGTGGCTTCGACATCAACACAAAAACAGAGCAGCGCCCCTATGGGGTAATGTTTACAGCACTGTTGGAGAAACCGACGAGTTTGCCAATTATGAATCTCCTTCTGGATCATGGGGCCAATCCCAATGAATCCCACCTAAAAACGAAACTACTTCCATTACATATTGCGGTGAAGAAAGGAGATGTTGGGTTGGCGAGAGTGCTGGTGGAGCATGGCGCCGACATCCGAGCTGCGTCTCTTGTTCCTGTGAAGAAAGGCAAGCTGCATCTGTTGCTTTCGGCCGCCCAGCAAAGGTCTACTCCTCTGATCCAATTCCTGCTTATGCAGGGCATGGAGAACTCCTTTACGTCGCAAGGGAAACGGTGGGAGGTGAAGGAAAGTGCATTGCCAAGAGGCGCCAATGAGAGGGTCGGCTACGAGTTCGGATCGTACGTGGCTGTCATACACTTATAACGTCACAATGATTCAAAGTGTGCTGTGTTACTTGAGTAGTAAATACGTATATTATGGCAATATTGCCACTAAAATATGTAATAATTGAAGAGAAATGCAAGCTTGATGGATGGATAAACGCCATTCAACGCCAGACACCCAATATGATGGTTCACAACCAAGGAAAAGAATTGATGAGCCCAGCACACTGATGGTCCAACACCCAACGATTTTGAACCCTAATCCTATGCGGGACTCGGGGAGTTGAAAGACAAGATATATCCGTGCCCTAAAGGTATTCCGGCCCACCCCGCGTAAATCCGACAGTAGCCTTATCTCTTAGAGGTCTGTCGAAAGGTTACTGTCGGATTTACGCCGTGTGCATAAACCCTGAGGCGTGTGCTTGTAGGCGCACACAGGTCGATCGAATACCACGATTATGGAAGAGTGACGAAAGTGCAATAGAGGTGGATCGGCAGCGAACAGGTTGAACAGTGGAAGGGCAATACAGTTTAATCAGAATTGCCTTGAGCTCTATTCGTGAGTGAAAATGGTGTCAAACTTATTCAATTTAACTAGGGAAACAGGCAGTATTTATAACTTTGGGTACATAGCAGAATGTCAAGGAAAAAGACTAATAAAACTCTCAGAGTAACATGGGGGATACGAGAGTGTTAGGAAACTCGTTGTTCTTTCCATTTGATAAGATAGTTGATATCTTATCATCGTATCGTGTAGTGGTGGATATCCGATTGGTCCGATGTGTATTGCTTATCTACACGCTTAGTGCGGGGTATCGCACATCCACATGTTGACAGAACCTAAGGTTAAAAGGAAGTAGGAAACTAGCTCTCTACTTTATTAGGCCCTTTTAAGTCTTATAGACTATTAAAGAATAATCTTACTACCTAAGCTTACCTTAATAGTATAATGGAATCTATAACGTCTTTTACGTATTCGCCAGTAGGACAATATTTGTCTATGATCATAAATAGCGATAATCAATTTTCGCGTTGAATTTCAGCTATATACAATGACTAGAACGATTTAAAGATCTCGCTTACCGTCTTAAAGACCGTCTTCGCTCGGTTTGCCGACTCTCCGGCGGGACCTGTTATCCAACTTACGAGGCTATACTAATTTTCTCTTCTATAATTTCTAGTCGACCGAGTATATCAGCCAAATCGTTACGGACCACCTCATTAACATTTTCTTAGCTTTACATAGTCTCTTTCACATTCCTGTATTATTTATTAGCCTATAAGTCCCATCAGATTAGACGATACACCTAGATGTAGCGTACTTTATTCTTATATCTAGCCTTAGCAAAAATAAGGGATTTAGCTTCAAGGTTTAGAGAGAGTAGAGATAGTACTCACTCTGCAATACATTTTAGGGCTATCATATTAGGATCTTTTAGCAAGTCCGTCCCTAGTTCAAGATTATCCGCTATTTGAGCAACAGGGGGCAATTCAGGACCAATTTAGTTTTCGTATATATAACCCACACTATCGCTTTATACGCTAGATCCAGCAGTCATCGACAGTATCAAATACTAATTGTTATGATATACCCTGGTATGAGGTTATTCCCAAGTGTTGGTGCCTTAGGCTTCCCGGACCTAATAAGCCGGCAGGCTTTCTGTGGAGGTTCGCTAGGGCTTCGTCATCAGTACGTGTACGAACTCCTGCAGGGAACACCCTTGACAGAGGTTACATAAGACCCCGCTCCTATTCTTCTACCAAGGATACATCTCCTCCCTGTTTAAGCGATAAGACTGTATATAAATTGACCCATGCTGAAGAGGTTTTACGATCCTCAAGAAACAGTCTTTGACCTTTCTGAACAATTGACTTGGTCCTTTTCTCCTACCTGATTGACAGGCCTCTATCCTGACTTATAGGGTATATCTTTACAGTGCTAGTGTATCGAGGAGGAGGGTTATTAGTCCGTTCTTCCCTGTAATCGCTGCGTACGTCTTGATAAGATTTATTTTCGCTCCGACAATTCTGATTGTTATAGCGAGTGTGTTCGTGCCGGCAATTCTAAGTATACTATGTCGAAACTATCCTTTTCTGACGCTAAATAGCGCCGTTTGATAAAAGCCCGTTAAACTCTTCGCGAAGAGGAGGAGGCGGCCTTAACTAAACTCCTTCGCCTTAAGAAGCAGTCCTGTCTATGAGGGAGTCGGGTAGGTAACTTTATTACTCGTAATTATAAGGAGATTGCTAAGTTAGAGGAATTAGAGTATCGATAAGGGGACATACTCAGGTACTAACAAATACTTCAGTACGAGCTAGTTGCAGCTCTAGCTGTGGCGGACTGCAGGTGTAGCTATGCTCCGGAGTATAGCACTCCCCTAGATTTCGAATTACCCGAGACAACGGCGACGTGTGCGTGAACCTAGCAAATTCCTTTCGAGATATTGCCGTACAAGTCGACGTATGTATTATTATCAGACGCTGACGATCCCCGAAGGTCTCGCCGGAGTCACTTCTTGTCGGGCATAATTTAGCAAGTGGATCAGACAAGAGACTAATGACTCACGTAAATAGCTGGCTCGTACGTTCTGGACTGATTAGTGATTTGGCTATTATCTATGGCTGGCTGGTGGGTGTGGAATATCTGTGACACTAACTTGGAGCGGTTGTATCTGAATGGACCGGGCTGGTCTTAATATTGGTGTTTCAGCACAGTCTTTGATTGTATTGTGCTGACAAAAAACTCACCTGCATAGGAAGCCTGAATTTTCTTCTCTTCGTCAAAGGGCTAGTGCAAATTGACATGGTTATATCGACTCAATGAGCCTGATGAATATGTGCGAATGTACGGACGGTTTGAGCCTAGTCTGGACTGAGGGTCTGGCTAGTCGGCACGAATATAAGTGGATTGGAGTGAGCCGCCGAGGGCCTAGCAAAAGCTGGACAGCTTTATGGCTTGGGCGTATACTGTTTGTGTAAGTAAGTGAAAGACTCGGATGGAATGGAAGGTGAAGAACTGATTATGAATTGACTGCTGCAGAGTATTTAACAGCTTCTTGGTGCGAGGAAATCTATCGAATGCGACAAAGCAGAGGTTTGTTTCGATAGAGAACCAGGGGAGAACGCTGTATTTATAGGCTTTCTGCTTGCCTTGTTGCCGCGTGCTTTATATTGCAACGCCGTGGACTTGTCTATACGTCGCTAATCTAAACAGCCTTATGCATAGTCGCCGATAACAACTTCTACTAGCTTCGAAGTGGGATAGTCTAGATGACCGTGGTCCTTTCGATCCAACTGAGGTCCCGCGCTATCTGACAGCTAATAGAAATGGTCCTCCTAAACATTATTCGTTAAGCAAGCGAAGGTAATCTCGATTAACTCTACTTCAGATACGGTGGTGGGGTGCTGTGCTCCGCAACGGAGGACGAGGCCAACAATAACATTACGTAGTACGTGAAGACTAAGTTCCTTACAAATAAAAATACCGCCTATCTTTGGCAACAGGGTCTAGCCAAACCATGATGTCGGATTATCAAAAGATGCGTAGCGCAGAGCGAAGCTAGTTTCTAAGTGGTTTACGGAGAGGATTCTGTATGTGAGATCTGCGCCTTCTTACACGCGTGTCCTCAGAGATACTCGATTAAACAGTAATCCGAACTGTGAAAAGCTCGAACTTCGTTCAATGAATTTATAACAAAATATTCCTGATATGCTGCAGGTTGCCTCTCCTGAAAACTGCCAGTTGCCGACAATAATATTTGCTAAACTACCTTGGACGGATTAGCGATTGGTGTATGGAAGAGCAGATTTATGATTTGAGAACTTCTGGGTGAAAATATTATACCCTTTCCTTGTGACCCACTTGCAATAATGTTACGAGTGAACTGTGGAGCGTCGTATTCCGAAGTTTTGTCTGTTTATCTAAAACTTACACCAGTCGGAACACGTTATCTAAGATCTGTTAAGCCATGACTGTGGCAAGCGCGCCGACCCTCGAAGTGACGGCCTGGTGCGAGATTCCAAGACCTAGCAACTTCCTCTGGTAAGTCGAGCTGACTGACGCACACTGTGTTCTACGCTATGTCTCATCAACTGCCCCTGAAGGAAATAAAGAATCCGAAGGTTTGATGTGGCTTCTATAGCACTCCGGAAGTGGCAAACATTTCTTGCTCTGCGGTCGCGGTAAAGACGCCTAACAACGTGCTCCTTCCTATTACGGGCTGCTAGCTCTAGGGCTGACTCGTTATATCGTCTATATCGATTAGTACCCCCGCAATATTAAGTCAATCGTCTCTGAGCAATAGCTTCACAATATCTAGATTCCTATAAGAGGTGGCAATATGTAGTGCTGTGTCCCCAAGAGAGGTCTTTGCATTAATATCTAGTTGAACCCTTTTTTCAAGAAGCAGCTTTGTAACAGCATGGTAGCCGTTTTCGATCGCGATGAATAGAGGAGACTTGTGCTAGATAGTCTAATTGATATCAACCTCTGTAAAGGAGAAAAGTAGGCAGACAACTTCTAGATGTCCTCTTTTAGCAGCAAGATAAATAGGAGATGCCCGTGATATATTCAAATCTAGGTCGGTCCTAGTAAGGAGGAGCTCTAATATCCTTAGATCGCCCTTGCCCACCGCGTAGCTGAGAGCTGTCTACCCCTGGTTATCGCAGATGATTAGGTCTAGTGAATCTAAGTCTACAAGCGTATAAACGAGGAGAAAGTTTCTATTTCTAATAGCAAAGTGAAGAGCAGTCTTTTGGCTAAGGTAGCATGTGTTGATATTGGCTAGTTCCTCGGCTCAGATCTGTAATGCGACGGGTCGGTGGTTCCTACGAGCGGCCGTACTGAGGGCTGTAGCTCCTTCGCTGTTATAAGCAGCAATGTTATTTCTAGGCGTGCTCAAAAGTATCTTTGTAGTTGACTTATAACTATAAAATATAGCGAAATGCGGCCCCTGGGTCGGTACTATTGATATCGACTCTATAGCTTAGTAATAGTTAGATGATATTATTATGCCCGTTGCTGCCGGCTTGCTACAACAA